CGCTGGTACCGGCAGCACAAGACCTGCCAGGGTTGGCCAGAGCCACAGGAGTAGAAGTACCTTCTCTATCCCTGGTGTTAAACCACACACCCAGGTTTTACTATCATAGGCAAGGAGTTCAGAATGAAGTTAAACCCATGAAGCACATCTCATGCTCAGGGGATGACTGTTACCTCTTCCTAGAGGTGCTTCCATCAGGAGGTGACCCCAGACCTAAGTCCAGGAAGGAAAACCAGCAGGTACATGTGGACCACAGTCTTCTCAGACTGAAATTAGAAGAACACACCTTCTCCTAGAGCTCTGGGTCAGGAGTTAAACATTATTAAAGCACTGTAAAATACTGCCAAATCATTGTTAACATTAATAACAAGCCTTGACGGTAAGCGCTCATTTTAATAAGCAAAGACACTGGGGACTGAGAAGGCTGAAATCATGATTAACAGCTTGTTGGACCCTTTCCTTTTTCTGCATGGCTTGAGGAAACAATTATTAGTTAAGCTGCATCCAGACAGACTACCTGCATGCCAGCACCCGACACTCTGAACACTCCACTGATGCCCTGAGTAAACCACATGGCAACCACAGCTGCCTATTGCCAAAGCACAACTTCACCTCCTAAAGGCACATCCTAGCCATGACTGCTTCCGATGACCTACTCCAGACTTGCTATCTTGAGCCTCCCTGAACTCTAGGTGTCTGTGCAGCCTTTCCCACCCAGAGCAGAGCAGGACCCCTTTCCATAGTCACCCTGCCAGAAGGATTGTGATTGTCCCTCATTTGCATAAGATGCTGTAATTGGTGGAACATCGTTTCTCATTTGCATAGGAGGCGGTGCCATGACTAGACTAAACACCTTTGCCTAACTTTTTTCTAGACTTTATCATCAGGCTGTATATGCTGGCGAGTTTTATGTCAACTTGACACAAGCGAGGGCCATTTGGTTAGAAGAAGTCTTAGAAAAAATGTCCCTGTAGAACCAGCCTGAAGGCAAGCCTGTAAGACATTTGCTTGATTCGTAATTAATGTGAGAGGATCCAGCTCCTGTGGGCAGGGTCAACCCTAGTCTAGTGCTGGGTGCTTTAAGGCAGCAGGCTGTACAAGCAATGAGGAACAAGTCAGTAAACAGTGATCCTTAAAAAAAAAAAAAAGAAGAAGAAAAAAAAAGGAAGAACATGACTGCTCCCAGGTGTGGTGGAGGAAAAGGTTTATTATAGGTGAAAGGGAGGGCATAGCCAGAGGCAGGGACATCTGGGAGGATCCAGAGTGAACAGGACCCTGAGCTAGGGCACCTTAGGAGAGTGTTGGGGGAGAGCAAGAGAGCAGACAATGACCACGAGGGTCAGCCTGAGCCAAGAAACTGTCATAGCCAAAACGGCTGTATTATATAATGGAAAGGGTAGCCCAGTCCATGGGCTGTATAGGTTTAGACCAGGTGACATGGTATGGTAGCCATACCCTTTAACAGGTAGGGACTGAGGAATGATGCTAGGAGAACCTGGTGGCCAAGTCCGCTCTGATATGTTAAACAGGCTCCTGAGTTAATCACTTTTCTTGGTTTGAGATAACAGTTCCTTCCTCCAGGTTCCTGCCCTGGCCTCCCTCAATGGTGAACTTTATATAAGAGCTGGAAGCGAAATAAACCCCTTCCTCCCCACACTTCTTTTGCCAATCGCATTTTATCGCAGCAATAGAAACACTGTGACACTGCTCCACCCTTGGTGAGTCATCTGAAAAGCATCACGGGCTCTCTTTAGTGTTGCAACAGGGAGAGACTCCTTTTGACAGGGCTTTTCTGAACAACTTTGGGTCACCATTATTAGCAGAGCAGGCTGAGGTGGCAAAGGCAGGGACGGAAGAGGCAGCAACAACCACAAGCATGATGAGGAGAGACCCGAGGAGTGGGGCAAAACAACAAAGAGCAGAGGCAGAGGGGACCGAGAGGGACCGGTTGTGGGAGGGAAGTCAAGAGAAGGCAGGGAACAGAGGCTGACAAAGGAGGCTGCAATGGCCTAGGGAAGAGAAAGACACCCTGTGGACTGGTTGCACAAGGAGTTCCAGAGAGCTCTCAGGCCTTACCGGCCAACAATTTAGACCCACAGCCAGAGAAGTCACATCTAAGGATCGCAATACCGTAGGTTCAGAAGCTGCAGCCACAGAGCTGGGGTTCCCAGATTCTGAGGCCTGTATGAACACTCTAATACAAGCAGGTGGGACCTGCTGCTGCTTGCTCCTGTTGGCAATCAAGGCTTATATAAATTCCCAACTCTGTGTGGTAAGGGACAAGGGAACAAACTAGTTATTAAATCCCATTGCCTTTGACCTGAGCGCCTGGAACCTCTCTGGCTTCTAAAGGGCTCTAGGCTGGAGGCCTCTGGGTCTTTTCCAGTCCAGGCCCATAGGAACTGGGCCATTTGTCAGCATTAGAAAAGTTACTCCTCGCCTCCCTAGCTGGGTGGGGCAGAAGGACTTTCCCAGCTGTCTTAGAAGACTTTGTTTCTGTCCTTACCTAATAGTAATTTCTCTCATTCCACAACCGCCACAGCCCTGAGCTCACACTGCATTCACATGTATGGACAAACTGCAAAAGCTGTTTCTGTTCGTGCATATTTTATATTCTCAAAACAACTCTTAAGATCTTTAAAGGGGGTCCTACCATCACAGTTTCAGTGCACAAGCGTTTCTTAATAAACATTGCTGCAGACCCTCTGTTTGCAGTCAGTACTTCTTGCTAAATTTAAAAACCTTTGGTGTGTAATGCACAGCTATTTCTTGAGTCTAAGTTCTTTACACACGAGTGACGCTGGTATATGGAAATGCCAGACCCACACGAAACACTGTGTGTAGCTGCTTCTGGGAAGCCCCCTATGATACGTCCTCATCTACCCACTGCCGATCTCTTTGGAAGAGCCAGCTCTGATGCCATAGCCTCTAGGAGGACAGCCTTCATCTCTCGCTCTCCATCCTCAAGTCCTAGATTTCTAGCTTCCATTTGCCAAGCAAGTAGAGGCCACATTCATTAGCTATGACCATGTGATTCCCCACAAGATACAGGCATGTGCATTTACCTATTTCCCCTATTTCGGTATGTTCCATTATGGAAATAAATTTATTATTTTCATGGTACGATTCCATCGCCACTAGAAGCGTAACCAAGGATTTGAAAATGGGAGAGGTAAGTGTACAGCGAAAGTACTACGATGTGACTGTACCCCTTCCTCCAAACTTGGGTGTTAGAAATGGAATACTGACCTGGACAGAGATGGGAGGAAGCTGATTGGTCTACAGGAAGACTGATGTCATTACAAAAGGCTTACGGCTGTTCCTCTGCACTCAACCACATGAGGGTGCACCACCTCAGAGGGGCCTGGTGCTTGCTCCTGGGCTGGCCAGCCTCCAGAACACTGAGGGCATGACTTTCTGTTCTGTTCTTTATATATCACCCCAATGGTGGTATTGTGTTAAAGCTGCAATAGCAGTACCATGAAACTTCTGGAAAACCCCATGAATGAAGTACTGAAATATTAAATAAGGTTTCCCCATCTCCTCGCCCACTCCTTTTTTTTTTTCTTGAAAGAAAAACAATGGTCAAAGCCCTTCATGATGAGTCAAGAGGACACAGGGGTAACTCTCAGCAGGGGCTACTGCAGGAAGCTACACCAAACATTTTCATATGAGCAAAGAGGTCAAAAAACAAGAGACAACATCACCTCTGGGGTTGCTATGGTAACAAACAAAGCCTGTACAGATATTCTAGTCCTCACCCTATTCTATTTACTGAGGGTTTTCAGTGGTAGCTGAGACAAAAAAAAAAAAAAAAAAAAAAAAAAAAAAGACAACAAAGGGCAGCTGAGACTATGTCCTAAAAAGAAAAAAAAAAAAAAAGGAAGCTGATTTGGGAGCACGGATCACAAGTCTTCTTTGATATAAAGTAAACAGCAAGAGGAAATCCTCTCTCATCTTCCAGAAAGGAGACTTTTAACACAGACAGTAATAAAACTTGTACCTGAGGTCATGAGGAAATGTTAGCGAAGTGGAAACACAGTAAACGTAAATAAATCTGAATTTTTTTAGTTAAATATAATGTGTTAAAATCAACCTGACAGACGTAACCATGAACACATTTCCACTATCAAGCTCACTCCTGCATGAAGAAATCAATCAAGAATTCTTTCTACACTTGAATCCAAATTCGGAGGACCTGCCTTAAGATAAGGAGTCAGTTTATTTTGTGCTTTGGGCATGTGTGATCACATGTATATACTTGTGGAAGTCAAAGGTTAACCTTAGGCATCACTCTGCCTGCTGTCCACCTTGGTTTTTAGACAGGGTCTCTCTCATGGCCTGGAACTGACTGATTAAGCTCAACAGTTGTCCAGAGAGCCCAGGGATGTGCCCATCTCTACTTCCCCAATGCAAGGATTATACAAGCACACTGGTATACGCAACTTTTTACCTGAGTTCAAGGATTAAACTCAGGCTCTCCTATGCATTTTACTGAGGGAGGTATCTCTCCTGCTCTCGTGTCCTTTCTGACTATACAAATTCTAGAAGTTGTCGTTATTCATATAAAACACAACACATCTTGCTAGGCAGCAAAGGGAATGCACCAAAATATGCACTCTTGTCACAAATAAAAAAGAACATGGCCACTGCAAATCTTAACAGCCACACCAAATAAACACGAAGAGAGGAAGAGGGAAGAAATGAAGGCACCGTGTCCTAGAGGCAAGGACTGGCACAGTCTTACCTGAATTTTACTACTAAGAGGACTTAAGACGTTTCTAGAAAATGGGTGGGATGCACACGCAGAGACAGGTAACACAGGGCAGGCCTTGGAAAGGATCCTGAAGTTCAGTTTCAATGTGGTACAGGAGAAGCTCATGAAACCGTGACCACATACACACAGAAGGGGAGGAGGGGGAAAGGAAGGAGGGAGAGGGAGACTCTGAATGAATCTCAAATCACACCGTGGAGTCTACATATGAGAATTGTTAACTTACAGTTCCATTTTCTTCAGATCCAAGATACAACATCACAGCCAATTCGTTTCTCGGGTTCTTTCTCAGCAGCCCCAACCCACACAGCTTCTTAAAGGCTTCTGTTTCACTCCCTAAACCACCATGCTTCTCAGAAGGCCTGGAACAATCTCTAAAGGTTCCCTCCCCCTACTTCCTTGCCTTAACTTCCTTGATCTAGCTCAATCACACACCTCTCAAGCAGCGTTTGTTCCGTCCTCTCTTACCCCCCTAGACAGGACAATGCTGGCATTTCCTGAGTCCCTTGTGCTCCTTGAACACTAATCTGTAACCTGATCGTCAGCCACCACTCTTCTTCTCAAGGGTCACATTGTCCAAGTGAATGACACCTCGTTCATGTTAATCACTTAGCTCCAACAACCACCAAGGAGTTGGACTTCTGGTTCAACTCTTCCTTATTGCTGTCATTACTCTGGAAACATCAGAGCCTACACTTATGGTCCATCCAATACCTTAACTAGTTCACTGGCCTCCTCATACTCCTATTCTGTCACCTCAAAGACGGTGTTAATCCCTGAAATACCTTGTGCTAGCCAATTTTTATTGTCAACCTGAGACAATCTAGAGTCACCTGTGAAAAGCAAACCTCAACTGAAGAATTGCCTAGATCTGACCATGCTGGAGACATGTCTGTAAGAGACTGTCTTGACTGCTACCTGATGGAGAAGGGCCCAGGCGATTGTGGGCAGTACCATCCCTGGGCAAGTGGTCCAATGCTATATAAGAAAGCTAGCTGACCAGGAACCATTCCTCCATGGTTCCTGCTTCGCTTCCTGCTCTCCTGACTTGCCTCACCGATGCACTGTGACCTAGAAGTACAAGCCAAATAAGCCCTATCCTTCTCTAAGTTGCTTTTGTGGTCACGGTGTTTATCACATCAAGAGAAAAACAAACTTGAACATAGTCCCACTTCAGGAAACATAAAAGTTACCCAATGTAGTATGACTCAGCAAATAGCAAACCTGTGCTCTAGAAGTTGAATATTTTACCACGTGACCAGAGTTGCTACTTTTCTGTGTATATGAAGTATAATAAAGATTAGATTTTTAAATGCTCTTAGACACATAACACGGTAACTGAACAAGATAGCTGACAAATTGCTTTGACAGTGTTATACTAACATAACCATAGAAATCAATCAGTATAGGAGCCAGGGAGATGGCTCAGCAGGTAAAGGCACTTGCCACCAAGCCTGCTCAATGATGGAAGGAGATAACAAATTTCTACAAGTTGTCTGCTGCCCTCTACATGTACATGTGACAGACACAAAAATAAAGATAAATAAATAAATGCTAGGTAGAAAGATAGAGGGATGGATGGATGTCTTTTTGAAAAGAAATTAAATCACTACAGAAAAACAAATGCACAAGGTATACAGAAAATAAAAGGGGGCTGGCCAAGAGAATAGGGGTGGAATTTATCAGCTTTTCTTTTCAAAGGTCTGCTAATTCCAGGCAATAGCAAGAGAGATGATTTGTAGGAGCAGATGTTGAAAATAAAGATAGATAGATAGATAGATAGATAGATAGATAGATGGATGGATGGATGGATGGACGGACGGACGGACGGACGGACGGACGGACGGACGGACGGACGGACGGACGGACGGACAGACAGACAGATACACTATGATAGAGAACTAGAGATCACAAACCCCATTTTCATAGATCATGTAAGTGCAGAGGTTGGAGAGGACTAAGAAAAATCTAGGCGAGGTGAGGGAGGGGAAGAGGGAGTTGATGGGAAATGACCAAGCTAGTAGATGGCAAGCAAGGTTGTCAATGGTGTTTGGCTGGATGGTACCACTGTTCAAGGCATCAGAACTCAGAGATTTTCATACTTAGTTCACAAGAGTGAGGGACACAAAGCAAAAATGCAACACACAGAAAATCCAGCATTTCCTCTTGGCTAAACAGAGTGAGTGTTGTCCAAGAAACAAGGGCGTTTTTGAAAAGCAAGAACAGCAGCAAAACGTCTACGAGCGAGCTCAAGGGCAGGCTAATCACTAGATCAAATATTGATTCTCAAAGGGCTTGATTTTTAGCATTTTTTATTTTTTCGATTCAGATTTCCAACCAGGTGAGAGTACCAATCACCTCTTAACTGCCCACCAGAAAGGCAGAGCGGAGAAGCCTGTTTTAACCAACGCCCAGACAGCACTGCAGATGACCTCTCTGCTACTCAGAAGAAACAATCAAGGGCAATGGGGAGACTCAGCGAAGACTACTGGCTACTTCTCCACACGGGGAGGTTCACACTCACAGGGCTAACTACAGAACTTCATCATGCTTCCACACACAAGAGCCAGCTGGCCTTTCCCCACCCCCTCTTCCCTTCCTTTGTTTTCCTTAAGCTTGCCATTCTTCTTTTTTTCTTCTACATTCAAAAGCAGGAGGAGAAACAGATGAAGTAGATAAAAATATAAAGAAAGAAACTGAGACACAAATAGTCTTTGTCGTTAACCAAGAACAAAGGGTTTCATTCATCTATGCCTGTGAAATTATGCGCCAGGGTCTAACACTTGTGCAATAAATAGAAAGGCTGTTGGGAAGAAAAGAAAATAGACCACACAAGGGACTTCAGAAGTGAAAGCTGAGCTTGTTCAGGACATCACCAGCCATGAGGGGGAATGCTCTGGAGGACTCCTACTTCTCTGGAAGTAGTGTTAGGTAGGCACTTGATCGAAAAGTCACACCCAAAGATACAACTCGGCCTGGAAATAACTTCCTTCCTCCTCACGTGTCTCTAGAACATCAAGTATCAGCTTGTAAGTGTCTCTGAAAGAATGACTCCCATCAAAAGTCTCCAGCAAAATCCACATCTCGATTTCATTCCATTCATATAAATTATATAAATATATACACATAAGTATACATTGTATATTTACAAACTTCATCCTGTGTAGCCCATCCTTACAAAAGAATGTTGCCAAAAATTATCCCAAAGATACATGGACTCAAACACGCTCCTAAATTTATATATATATATATATATATATATATATATATATGTGTGTGTGTATGTGTGTTTGTGTATGCATTTAAATTATGTTATTATATAATCATAAATATAGTATATAACATATAAAGTACAATTTTATATATTACATATAATTTTTTTCCTGGCATTTGGTACTAAAAACTCTCAACACTTCTTACTACTTGCTAGAATATTCAGCTTCTCAAAAAATTTTAAGTTAACTGTTAAAAGTAATCACATTTAATGTGTTTTCATTGAGAACATACCAATGGCATGGATAAAACCTCTTGTAACTGAAAAGCAGAAATTAAATAATCTTTTGCATGACAGGAGAAGAAGGACCAAAGCTGACATGTTTATGATGACTGGGGGGTGAGACAGGTCAGGAAATGTGGCTATGGAAACAAGCAAGGGCTCATTCCACTGTGACTTTTTCAGTAGCTGGGGTAAAAACCCCAGCCTGAGCTTCCTTCCTGTGTGTCTTCCTGAATGACAGAACCAAAACCTGGAGCATTCCCTGTCCCAGGTTCCCTTCCACCCAAGGCTCTTCTGACCAGATATGCAGGCCAGAGATCAGGAAGGAAATGAGTTCAGCAGGGCCAATGTGCGCAGCCTCTGAGGAACAACCCCACACTCTATAATCACTGACTATATGAGGGTGGAAACGGCAAAACGTGAGATGCATTAAAGACAGGATCTGAGATGCTGTGAGCCCCCATTTGCGGTTCTTTTCTGGGATTCTGGGAGCATAACTGTCCTTGGGATGCACTTCTCCACCTGAAGGTAGCAGACGTGGCAGGTCTCTGGATGGCTACATACAGCATCGCTGCATGGATGGTACTGCTTTCACTGCCTAAAAGCCCTGCTACCCCCAGCTGGCACCCATTTTACAATTTTTCATGAAATTCTTTTCTATTTAAAAGTTATGCATCAGTTGTCTAATCCCAACACTAGTGAGGGCAGAGGCAGACGGATTTCTGCGAGTTCCTGGCCAGCCTGGTCTACATAGTTCCAAGACAGCCACAGATACATACATACATACACACACACACACACACACACACACACTGTATATGAGACAGATATGATCAGTGCTCAATTTTCCCAGTGCTTTATTTTCCCAGGTTTTAGGGTGTGTGTGTGTGTGCGTGTGTGTGTGTGTGTGTGTGTGTGTGTGTGTGGTGGTGGTGGTGGTGGTGTTGAATGATGCTGAGAACTGAACATTCTAAGCACACATTCCACTACTAAGCTACAACACCAGCTCCCAAGTGCTTTATTATATAATCATCAAGTCTAGAAGATGACTTGTAATCAATGCTCAAAAGCTTAGTCTATCTCCAAGGTAAAAGTTAGAATTCACCAAAGGAGAGATTAGTGGTCAGAAAAGTTCATCGAATAAATTCACTTTTCCAGCCTTCTACAGAGATGATTTGCCAGCAAGGGAATGGAAGTTCTCTTATCCACTTCTGGCTGGAATACCAAAAAGCAGACAACAGAAAAATTCTCCTTCAACTCCTGATTTTCAAAGACCTGATTTCTTAAAAGGTAAGACAGGTACAGCACCACACACTTTAGCTCTAGTTACCCAGAAGCCTGAGGCAGAGCGATTCCTGGAGTCCAGGAGTTCAAGACCAATCTCAGTGACACAGCAAGGTGCTGTCTTGACAAATAGTAGTAAGGGCAGAAACATTGAAACAGCATTCACAATGCGGATTTTGAGGGTGAAATGTTCTGAGTTACTTCCTCCACTGGTTCGAAAGTCACCTGGCTTGGATTCAGAAAACCACAGCCTGACAGACACACAGCAAATGAGCGTCAAGAAAGAAGCACAAGCATGTCCAGTATCGATCCCCACTGGCTCCTGGAAGAGCAAAGTGGGGCCTTCAACCATTACATAATTAGAAATGGCTGCTGTTTCTAGATAAGATCATGATTAGCACGGAAGCACAATTCTTAGTTAAGGGAGCCACCTTAGAGTTGGCAAGAGACTTGACCCTAGAGGGGCTCCCAGGTGCCCAAGCCAAGGTCCCCAGTTAGTTCCTTGGGCAGCTGAGGATAGGGAACCTGAAATGACCCTATCCTATAGCAATACTGACGAATATCTTGCATATCATCATAGAACCTTCATCTGGTGATGGATGGAGATAGAGACAGAGACCCACACTGGAGCACTGGACTGAGCTCCCAAGGTCCCAATGAGGAGCAGAAGGAGGGACAACATGAGCAAAGAAGTCGGGACCACGAGGGGTGCACCCACCCACTCAGACAGTGGAGCTGATCTATT